TAACTTCTCTATTTGAGACCCTGAGATTCAGTGATTTGCGAATGGGGGAAGAAACCTGAACTAGAAGAGCTAGAATAATTGGCCATTTCTGGAAAAGAGATGTGAAAACATCACACTGAGTATCTACAAGGTTCACTCACTGAACTCAATTAAATATCACGGCCCTGAAATGACATCTGATGTATGACGAGTCTGGAACTCAGTGAGGTTAAGTATAGCTTGTCTAGGATGACAGAGCTAATAAAAGGCAGAGCTGAGACTGAGCTCCCTCACGTCAGGAAGGCCCCTCATTGCTCCTCTTCTCAGATCACAATGAACAGCTCAGAGCAGCAGCATCAGAAATGCAAGCCCAGCCCCAGAGACAGGGTCTGAAACCCAGAGCCAACTGGGTGACCGTGACCTATAGTATCATGGGAAGGTTCACAGCCTCTTTTCTGCCTGCCAAGTATAATTGCTTCTTCAGGTTGTATAAGTATTTGGAGAAGCTGTTCACAGGGCTACACGTAATTGCTTTTTCAGGGTGTATAAGTATTTGTAGAAATTGTTCATAGGGCTACTCCCAGTCACCTGTGCTTAAGGAGAAGAAACAATACAGCAAACAAAAATATGGTGAGGGGAGAGGAGAAACTGACACTAGGAATAAGCAAAACCCCCTTCCTGCTGGGTGAGAAATTTATGAGGTCACAAAGCTTCTCACTCCATTCCACCGTGATAGGGCTCATCCGGCTCGTGTGCGTCACTTGGCAGGTGTAAACCTCTCCACTCTGAGGAACCGTTTCAAGCATCACCAGGGTCTGGAAGGTCCAGTCTCCATTCTGAATCAGGCCTGTGGAGACCACCCCAGTTTCCTCTTTCTGGCCATTCCGGAACCACCTGACTTCAATGTTGCCTGGATAGAAACCATCCACAGAGCAGACCAGGAGGTTGTGATGCTGCAATGGCTGGGTCTTCATAGGATACACAGTCACTGTAGGCTCAACTAGGAGAGAAAAAGGGAGAGAATAGTGAGGAAGGCAGAGTAAGTCTCCTTGGTTGGCTGCCTTTCTTTCTTTTCTTTTCTTTCTTTCTTTCTTTCTTTCTTTCTTTCTTTCTTTCTTTCTTTTTCTTTTTCTCTTTCTTTCTTTCTTTCTCTCTCTCTCTCTTTCTCTTCTCTCTTTCTTTCTCCAAACCTAGGCTCAAGTCTCAGGCCTGCCTCCCTCAAACCTGGCCATGTAGCCTAATAATGTCATGAGCCTTGAATTTAAACCTTACAGCAGGGGCCCATTAGATTTGAGAATGTTGGAGAAAATTTGCATTTTTTTTCATAGCTTGAAATAGTTATTCATTGTTTAACTGAAGTGTTAGCAAACCTTTTCAAGGCATCTAGGGTACTAATTAAAAGTGATTTCTGGAGCCAGGATGCCTGTGTTCAAGTCCAGCCTCTGCCTCTTACTGGCTGATCCTGAGAGAGATTTTTAAATTTCCATCTACTTCAGCTTTCTCACTTACAAAGGCAGATAATGATATTAACTTATCTATTACAGTTAAGTGCTAAAATATGTAAAGCAATGACTAGAACTTAGCCTTCAATATATGTTAACTATTTATTCTTGTTCACTCTGAGAGCAAATATGATTCAAAGAAATATGAATAGATCTTAGGAATGTCATCTCGATGCACTCACAGCATAGAACGCCACAGAAATGGCTCTACCCTGAGAAGTAGGAACAGATAGAGATGATTCTCTAATGCTGTGAGCTGAGTCTGAAGAAAAGCATAAATCCTGAAGGACAGGGATAGCAAGAATGAATGACTGTTCATGTCAAAAGTTCGTATATTTTCACTTGGGTGACCTATCCTGCTCTTTTGGAAAACAAGAATTTCTATAAATAGAATTGTTATTTTACAATTGTCCCTCTTTCTAAACTGATATTTGAGGGTAAGACTGGGTCTGGGACTCATCAATATGTGTGTTTAATGCCTGGGACAATCCCTGACCCCAGCAGACCTTCAATAAATACAATTATTTGAAAAGAAAGAAGGAGAAACTTGGGGAAAACATCTTTACAATACCACTAAATGATAGAGTTAAGATTCATGGTAAATTGTTACAAACAATTTTGTGATATATTAAATAAAAGTACTTAAATTCTTAACATGGAAAATAATAAAGAAAATTAAAATGTAAACCATAAACTGGAGAAAATGCTGAATTGAATATCAGTAAAGTGTTAATATTCTTACTGCGTAAAGAACCCATAAAACCACTGAGAAAAACACTAGGACTCAAGAGATAATAGAGGATAGATATTTCTTAGAGCGGTCACTGTCATGGGCCAATAGATATGTGAAAAATGTTCAATAGCCATAGAAATCAAGGAAATATTAATTAACAATTAAAAAGCTATCTAAATTTGCAACTATTTGGCAATATTAAGATCCAGCAAAGGAGAGTGTGAGGTAGATTGTGTTACAAGTATTCAAAGGAATAATATGTAACTACTTAAATACTATCAGCATTACTTCAAGTAACAAAAGTGTAACTCGAGAAGCTAGTTTCACATTCATTTCAACAAGTAAAACTACATACGCTAAGAAAAAAAGAGCGGGAAATTTAGAATTAACAGAAGGCTCAGAAACCTCAGAGTTGCCTGGGAGGAGGTCACTTCCCCCCAACCCCGTCCTCCAAATTAGCCTGACGCTTTTTCCTCAATGAAATGCTTATGCAAACACAGCATACCTAGTTCAGGGGCTCAGGACTAAGAAGGTGTGTGCCAAGGACAGTGTGTGCCAGGCCTCCTCATGGTATCCCAGGCCTCTCCCACCCCTCACCTCTCCGCCCCGACCCTTCACCCCAACCACAGACGCCCTAAAGTTCGCCTCCCCACATGTGCGATGTCCCGCCGCACTCACCGTTCCCTGCATCTCCAGCCCCCGCGGCCACCGGGGACGACGTGAGGCGCTGCCGCTGCGCCCCCGCACCCACCCCGGACAGTGTCTCCTGCGCGTCCCGAACGCAGCTTCTCTGGCCCACCCTGGCCTCGCGGGCGCCCCCGACCACACTCACGCTGTCCACGCTTTCACGACACACGCTGCTCTTAAACACGCGCTGTCCCCGACGCACTCACACGCACGTCACAGCTCGTGCTGTCAAAATCGCCCGCTCACCCAGGCCCGCGTGTCTACCATGATCCCAGTACAGGTCCCCACACCCTTTTCTGCATTTCTGAATCAAAATCCGAAAACCAGATTTTTAAAAATTTGGTGCCAAAACTCATTTGGCAAATCTGACCTGAGAAGGTGAGGGGTGAAATGAGAGCTCTCATGTGACATGTGCTTCTGTGGTTTCAGTATATATAAACATACATACATACATGCATAAATAGACACACATTTGTAATATACTTTCATAAGTGTATATATTTTTTACTTTTGCCTTTATGTATAATTCAACTGTGAAAATGTCTAAAAGAGTTAAAGAATAATCCTGTGATTAAAAGTGAGATCAATAAATGGGAGCTTCTGAGATCAGCAGTACAGAATGTAGAATTACTGCAGAAGTTTGGGGCATTTTAATAAAGAATATTTGTGGCAGTTACCACTATTTATGACTCATAAATGCAAGTTGTTGAAAGTTAATAGAAATAGTGATGACCAGGAGCTCATGAAAGTTTTGAAAAACATTGCATAAGGCAAAAAATAAAAATGAAGATGAACTTGCATTGATTGAATGGATTCAACAAGAAAGTGGTGAATTTAAGCAAAAATAAACCATGAAGAACTGAATTGGGAGGCCCGTGTGTATACAAAGTATGAGTTTAGGGTATTTAAAGGCAGCACAGCATAAGGTGTTTTCAACCTGGGCACTATTGACATTTGAACCTGATAACTCTTCAGGAGGGGAGATGGTGGTTCTGCACATTGTAGGTTATCTGCCAGCATCCCTGGCCTCTACTCATTAGATGTCACAAGAAACTCACAGTTTAACAATCAAAGATGGCTCCAGGTATTGCCAAATGTTCCCCAGGGGATGGGGGCAGGAAGGGAGGGTGGGGAATCATCTCTCCATGAGAACCGCTAGTGTAAATGATCTGAAAAATGTGTGGTGAAAATGCTACTATTAATGATGGAGCAGCTGAGTATTATGTTGAACATTTGCCAATATTATATGTGTTGAAAATCTTGGTCCTACTTGAAACTTATGTTTTTTAGGAATCCAGTCCCAGTGCAGAGGTACTTTTCCAGCAAAATCAATTTGTTCAGGATGAAGGTTTACTGATTTCTTTGCCTTGGCAATCACCAAGTCATATAATTTATCCTTTACGATGTCTTCTTAACTTCTCTGCCACTGATCCACTTATAAGCTACAGCCACAGCCATTTTATGCCCCCAACTAATTCATTTTCTAATTTTCAGCCCGCTACTCCCAATAATACCAGTAGGCATAAAACGACCAGCCTTGGCCAGATGTAGAATTCCCATTTCTGTAGTCAAGTCCCTTCAGAAGGGAAGACACTAAAAAGATGGCATTCTCATACAGAGTTTACAAAAAATGAGCATGTCCCTGGACTTGGAGTAGAGACCTTCACAAAGCTCCCACTGCTGGTTAGAAATGATGGCCGAGAGGAGCGCACTCTGGATCAGACAAGGTCTATCTCACCATTCGCAAATTCTCCAAGAACCTCCTACACTGAGGAGAAAATATTTTGAGAAAATGTTTGCAGTTGCTGTTCACTGTAGCTTGCATAGTTAGCACTGTAGTCCACGTTCATGTGCCCAGTTTAGGGTTGCCAGATTTAGCAAATAAAAATGCAAAATGCCCAGTTAAATTTTGATTTCGTATAAATCATTCTTACCTGAAATTCACAGTAATGCTGACAGAGACCAGGTTTGTTTTCTCCATCACTCCATTCTCATCACCTACGCTAATAACTGGAGTATTTTAAGTCATTAATAAATATTGACTGTAAGAATTAATGACTTTTTGCATCAACAGTCACCACTGCAGACAAGGACCCTCTAGTGTTTTCTTGTTAGTGACTGAACATGCCTGGTTCTCAAGTCCTCCTGCTTCTCTTCAGGTTCTTTATTCTTTTACTTTAGGTCCAGCTGGCTCCTTGATCCCAGATCACAATCCTTCCCTGAGGCCGGCTACTCAAACGAGTCAGCTGTAACCCAGGCCTCACTTCCTCAGCTCCCACTCTCTCCTCAAACAGTCAATCCAGCTTCCACTCTGGACACTCCACTGACTGGAAATGTCAAGTCCACCACACTCAGCACTTGCTTCTTTGTCTTGTTCTCACTTCGTCCACCTGTTGGTGGCACTCACCACAACTGTCAACTCCCTCTGCCTTGAAAAAAATCTATTTTCTTTAACTTTCATGCATCACATTCCTTTGGTTTTTCTTCAACATCAGTGGGACCCCTTCTCAGTCCCCTTTGCTGGCTCTTGGCCCTCTGGGCTTGGCCCTTGGCTCTCTTCTTGTTTTCTACACATAAACTCTCTCCCTATGAAACCTTTTCTACTTTCCTGGAATTTAACACACTACAGGTATCGATGCTGTCAATATACATAATTCCAGTCCTAGCCTCACCCTAAACTTCAGTCTCTTATATTCAAATGACCTCTTGACAGCTCTACAGAAATGTCAAAAAATCACTTCAAACTTAACTTCAAGAAAACCTTTATTTCTAATCACTTCAAATCATTTCCTACCATAGTCTTTCCTATCTTGATAAGCAACACCATCCACCTATTCATTAAGACAAAGTCCTTAAAAAAAGCTTGATTCTCTATCCCCTTCTATGTTTAATGTATTGACAAGTCATAAAAAAGATCTATCCCAATTCTGTTCACTTTATCTTTGTCCCTGTCTTTATCACTACTACAATAAATGAAGCCACAGTTTGCCTTCCCTGGAGAATTCTGCTGTGCACACATGGTCTCCCTGACTCTGCTTGTGAACCCCAACAATCCAATGTCTTCTAACAACAAGAATTTTTTTTAATTGAATGTAAATTGACTGTCCTTGTAAGCCTCAGGTAGATTCCCATATCTGCTTAAATAACATTCAGATTTCTTACTAGGGCCATCAGGTCCTAACAGGATTAGGCTCCTGACGTCCTCGCCAGCCTGCCTCATCATTGCCACTCCACCCCCTTGCTCACTACGCTTCAGCCACTCTAGGCTTCTTTCTGTCCCTTAAACACGGCACACATCTTCCCACATTTCGGCCTTTCCCTGTTCCCTCTCCCTGGAACACTTGTCCCTTAGATCTTCACATGGCTGTCTTCTTGTCATCGTTCATGTCTCACTTGCTCAGGGAGAGCTCCTCAGACACTTGAACTGAAGAGTTGGGTGAATCCAATTCACTATGTCCTATTACTTTGACATCTATTTTTCAGAGCACTTACTGCACTCTGAAATTTTCTTTGTTAAATTTTTATTGGGCGATTGTCTATCTCTTCTGTTATTAGGTAAGGTTCATGACAGTAGAGACTTTTTCTATCTTCTCTGAATAGAATTCTCTGAGCCCAGAACATATCCCAGCACATAATAGTTGCCCAAAAAAATATCTGTGGTCTAAATGAAAAATTAGGATTCTGGAAATGGATCACTGTGGGGATCCTGGACAGTACGAAGGAGCTCAAGCTCCAACACACTTTTCTTCTGATGACACAGTATATTCCTTCCCCTCTCTGTAAGAAATACAGGCAAACTTCCTCTTTCTCTTCCTTCTAGTTAGAAAAAGTATTCCGAGATAAAGAAAAGGTGATTTTAAGAAAGGAGGAAATTTTCATTAAGTTTTATCTCTTCCGATGGATCTCTTACAGTACTGAGGATCCTTCACTCTTTGGGGATTTTCAGTGATGCTGATGACACAGCTGGGGAAAGAATAGGGAGGAACTGGAGATAGAGGTGACCAGACATGGTTAGTATTAAGGAAAACAAAGGGTACGATGAATGAACCTATGAAACTTGGGACAAGATCCGAGGAGGCCAATGAATTTCCTTGACTTGCTTATTGGCTTTCAGCTCAATGGGATGTTAACAACCTTCACACTATCTCTGTACCCCTGCTCAGGGTAGATAGTTTAAACAACATGAAATTGCTAATGTTTGACTATTTTTGACTTACAAAAATAGAATTTCATATAATTTATCCTACTCTAGTTGAATCTCTTCTCATGGGCTCTAATCAGAGGATGTAGGTGATGTAGGGGAAACCGAGAGTATAGAAAGGTTCAAAATAGATTCATGATAAACACGAGCCTGTGCCAGGTTTTCAGAAGATGCCTGAAGTTCTTTAAGGCACCAAAGAATACCCCATAGACGTTCCTTATCTATCGGATCATTCTAAGAACTAAGGTGCTCTTCTTCAGCTCCAGGGTGCTTTCCACAGGAGAAGAAGAGACCGTACTAACCCCAACTTCCATCAAAGAACCTTCAGTAGAGAGATACAGACTTCATACACATTGTAGTTTGGGGAGAAAAGAAAGAAGATAATGTGGGAGTCTCCTGATACATTCTCACACATTAGGGAGAGGCACCAAAGTCACAGATCCTGTTCAAGGACATAACAAAAGATCTTCTAGCAGAGACTCTTCAAATTCCTTTAGACTCCTTATAAAATTTTCAGAAAAACTTTTTTCTGGCAAAGCTCAACGTAATAAGGGGAAGTACTGGGTGGGGAAATATTTTAACCTTGTGATATCTAAATCCTCTCCAGACCCTGAGGAAATGTGATGCAACGCTGGAGAGGTTTTATTAGAGGGGAGCTGAGAAGGAATAAACTATATGGAGGTCCCTTACACAGGTCTCCTAGAGAGGGCAAGAATCCAGGCTCCTTTTGGAAATAATTGGGACTCATAGGATCAATATAGGTGGTCACTGAAGAAAATATCACAATTTTTTAAGGGACATGGCCTGGACACAGTGACAAAGTTAACGTCCTTCCTCCACCCATCCCATGACAGCTCACCACCCGAGGTGTCCACTTACGTTGGGTGTCCCTGGCCAAAGCCAGAGGAGGGTTCAGCACCATCAGGATCACTGTCAAAGCTGCCATCCAGGAGCCTCCAAGGAACCACAGACACACCATGCTGGAGAACAGGAGAGGACCGGGTGCTAGAGGAGCAGGCAATTCTCACTCACTGAGAACGATGACCTCCTTCACCCACATCCCAAA